TGGTGGTTAAGATCGAGGCCAAGAGGAAGTCCCAGGAGCCAGGGCAATGCTACCGCTGCCAGAGGTACGGGCACTCGCAGCGGAATTGCACATTCGAGCCCAGATGTGTGCTCACGTTGCTGATTTCCATCTATCAATCTCGGTCAGCAAAGTGACAAAAGTGGTACAAAAGATTAGTTCGTTTAGTCCATTTAGTTCAGTAGGCTAATTTACATCATTGAATGAAAATATTATAAATAAACGGTCAATTTAACTTTACGTTATAGTTCCAAGACGTTATAATTGACAAGATTTATACCATGTGTTCTATTGCTCGTGCTCGGGATTTATTGTCCATATATTTGTCTTTGTGTTATTGGAGATTGGAGGCGTTTTCGATTTACATGATTTAACTGTCTGTATCTTCTCTGAGATTTGCTACATAAACACTTGCGAGTGAGAAATTTTTGAGCAGTCATCTTCGTCATAATGTTTTGTTGACTAATCAAAACCCCCCCAAATCAATTAGAATCAATTAAATCGCCTGCATTGTCGCTTGATATTATGTTTATTTATGAAATAAACGAAGAAAGAACATATCTGAGACTATACGAACAACAAGGATCATCTATTTTCATCGCCAGCTATAAACTGCAAAGTCGACAACGCCAACTGAAAGAAACCGCGTGGAAGTAAAGAGAAGCGCTATTGGTTCAATCACTTCAATCGGCATCATCGATCTCGTTCTCCTTCAAGAGTGAGATGAAATGACATGTTCTGTTTCGTTCTTACTGATTTGCTCTTTCAATTTAGAAGATTCGATCGTCTAGTTCAGTTCCCTGATTCGATCTTTTAAACTAGTTCGTTTGCAAACTACACAGCACGAAGCTGAACCAGTCTTAGTCGGAAAGCACGGGATATCGCTTTGCCCACTGCCTCATCGCCTTTGATAATGTGCACCGCAGTTGTGGACGAAACGTCAGGAAGAAATTTCCATGGACCACGGCTTCGAAGCCCGAAAAACATTTCTATATGTGATTTTACAGATTTCCAGATTTATTTGAAAGCTGTAGGACAAATGCATGTTTCGAAACTGATCATTTCGATATTCAAATCGAATGTTTGGCCCATTCTAAGGCATAATGTGATATTTTCCCCGTTCGCTTTTGGTATTATTACCGACATGCTGTCGAGTGACATAATAACTGAAACCTTGGAAATTATCCCCACAATGAAACCTGGATTTCATCTACTGATAAATATAGCCGGCGCACAGTTAGTGGAGTATGATATATTATGTGATTCATGGAAGCCGCATGACATGAACGCATAAATCACGAAGTATATCTGTTTAGCTGACATTACGTGCTTAGCCGAAACCAAAACTATCTATAAACTAAGTAAACATCGACAAGTTTAAGCCACATCCATCTGTACCAAGAAAATATATATCTAATTGATGCATTCAAATTGAAATTTATTTGGCTCTGAACATGAAAATCAGCTATTGACGCAAAGGGCTTGGAAATATGAAATCCTGGAATTTATGGTCTGCTATGAACGGTACATTTATTTCTCAAAAAATCCAAGTCTGAAATTAAAGCAACTGATGCACATTTGGAACAAATTAATTATGAGAAACACTATTAATCTTTAATTCTCATAGTCAGCTGAATGTAGGAAATCAAACGTGGAATCATTAACAAAGGATTAACTAATGACGAAAAAGCCAAAAAAATCCTGATCTGCTGACTTGTTAGTGAAAAAGAGAATATTAAGAGATTGTTCCGGCTAAATAAATAACTTTCGTTAACGATCCTACTTACCGGAGAAAAAGCGCGAGCTCTGGTTTCGGATAATTAGAACTAAAGCAATTAGTTAGGGGGGCCAGAGCAACGACAGAATTCCAATAGAGCTCGTTCGAGTAAATCTGTGCCTAAGACGCTTATTACTAGAGTTACCTTTCAGATTCCTATCGAATCGCTTAGTTTATTTAGTTTTGGAGACAGTTTTAGATATTGATGCCCACAAATCTGAGGAATCAGTTGCAATTGTTGATAGAGAAAATTCCTCCGGCGATTTACTTCATGTTTAAAACAGCATGTGATTTGGAAGTTATTGCCCATACTAGTTGTGAATAAAAACTAAAGTTCGAAGAGAATCATTTATAGCTAAATAAAATAAAATATATAACTGAAAAAATACAAAATATTTCAATTCAACAGAATACAAGATGGCTCATATCTTGTAATATATTTTTAGTATGTATCGAACGGTCGCTTTCCATACTCTTCGTATACTGTATCCCAAAAGGCCATTTTAGGAGCCTTTGGTCTTCCAGCTGTTACAATCAAATCGGTTTCCTCGTAGTTTCCAATATTAACAAACTGAAATTCCTCGGATGCCACTTTAGGCCAGGTGATGTTTTGAAGCAGCTCGTCCTTTTCAGGCGTAGGATTGCTGAAGAAAAAACATCTTTAGCCTTGCTTAGTTTCATTTGATTACCTACTGGTATTTAACAAAGTTGGTCCAAATTTTCACCAGTCGTTTGCTGATCAGCTGGTCTGTTTCCGGATAATCGGCCAGAGATTTACCGAAGTAGATGTAGCTGCCTTCTCCAACATGGGACACATTTCCTGAACCTGAACCGATTTTCTTAAGGACGCTCAAGGCTAATTTCAACATTTGTACCTGGATATCCTTGATTGCCACCCCCCAATTTTCCAGTATAGGAAAATTGGTAGTAGAAAACATCGGTGAAAACCGACTGGAGCTCAGCGTGCTTTATAGAACCTCTTGCATACTCTTGGTCCGTATAGTACTAATCAAATAGTGTAAACTTTCAAAGATAAATACGCAAAATCAATTACCTGGATGATTCCTAAGGGATTATCAACAAGGGATCCATTGGGGGAATAAATATTGTAGATCAGATCTCCTACTTCAGCCCAATCGTCTTCACCAGAAATGTTCATGTCTTGTGGGTTTAAAAGCGAATGCACATCATGAAAGGCCTTAAGATGAGTTACGTCGTTATCTAAAACATTATTTTTCAAAACCTTTTTCTTGGGTATTTTGCATCAAACATTTTGTTTTGTCAGAAAAGTGACGACAACTTTTCTAAATTCTTTTTTTTTTCTAATTGGAATTTTGTTCTTGCAGCTTGAGCCAAAGTGTGTTTTTAAGGAAACCGTAGTTCTTCTATCTTTTGATAAAGAATTCGCTCTTTTTTGCGAAATAAGAGCCATATTGATCACTCTGTAATAGAAGACGTGAGCAAATTCAGTTTTTTTAAAAGACGAAGATATTGAGGCCAAATACCCATCGAAATATCCAAAAAAGGGTTTTGAAAATATAAATCCGTTTCAAACATTCAGCTTTTCTTGTAACGATAAGGTGTTATTAATTATTTGTTGTGTGCTTAACGCTTAAGTATTTATTATTTGTTTTAAAGTTGTCGCCAAACTCGTTTTCCATGGCATCTACTTTCCACGAAACCAAAAATCTCGACTAGAACTTTTCCATATTCGCACTAACGCAAGTGGTTTCCAGTTGCTTTCGCAAATTTTCAAGTCACATTTTTCATCAAAATTAGTGAAAGCTTACATGGTGCGTCCATGAGTCCTTCCTCTGAAGTAACGCCCACAAAAATGGGCACTTTGTTGAAATTTCCATTGATTAATGCTTCGTATTGAAGTTCTGGCAAAACTGGATTAGAGCTTGCGGAGTCAATTGCCGGAGTAAAATAGTAGCCTTGTGTACCCTGATCTCTTTCATATCGAGTTGTCTGTTGGGCAGCCTAAGAAACGCTCGTGTTTAGGCATGTGTAGCTTTAATCAATATCTTTTTGAGTTATCACTTTGAAACTCCAGTCTTACCCAGTTGGCAAAAGACGTTCCAGCAGCATTAACAGTTTTCGCATCAACATCCTGTAAAACTTCCAAAAGCTTCTTGGAATCCCTGGAGGAATTGAATTGTGCATCTACAAAACTGCCCAGTTTAAAAGCGATGTTTGTGTGGTTTCTCTGAAATCCTCCAGGCGAGAGAACAGTCCCAGACTCCATAATGCCAGCAGAAAATAATCCTACAACCCCAATAGTGAACCGTTGTGTAAATTTTCTTTAAGAGAAGGAAATTTAGTACCAGTTGCAAGTGGACTTAGAATCAAATAGCCCACAGATTTAGCGCCTGCAGACTGTCCAGCGATTGTAACGCGCTGTGGATCTCCACCGAATGCGGCAATGTTTCTCTGGATCCATTTTAATGCAAGAACTTGGTCTGTAAGGCCCGCATTTCCAGGAATTACTTCATTTCCAGTTGATAGAAAGCCTGGCATAAATAAGTTTGATAGAGGCTTCTTTGGGTTTGAGGGTAGTTTTTACCAAGTGCTGTAAGACGATAGTTAAAAATGACTACAATTACATCTTCCTCTAGCAGATATTTGGGCGAGATTCCACTTGCAAGTGTTCCAGAGCCGCCGTAAAAACCACCTCCATGAATATTGAAAAAAACTGGATAAGTGATATTCGATGATGTGGAAGTCTGAAAAACCAAACACGTTTTCCAGCGATAACCTACTGAATGTTATTTTAAATTTCATCCGTTTGATAGTCAAAGAAACTCAAATTAAACCGAAATTATAAATGCAGTTATCCATTCGCAGTGTGTTTTGCAGTTCAAGTGATTAGATAAACTAGTTCACGCTTAATGAAATCGTTCGTTGTTTATAAAGGACAAATCTGTGTCATGTAAATAGATAAAACTGCGATTGATTTATATTGAAAACAAGTGGCAAAATACTCACTTGTGGAGTGAAAACACTTAAAAAAAGACAATCTTCAGTTTGCTGGTCGTCATCATTGTACAACTGGAAGCAAATGTTGGACTTTTCGGTTGCAGCGTCGTATGTTTCTGTCCAAGAATCCACCGGTTCTGCAGCCTGTTTGGATTTGGGTTATTTTATGCTGCTGGTGTTGCAATAAGTTTAGCTTACCAAAAATCTTCTGGAGCCAGTTGGGGGTTTTCCATATCGTATTGAATAAAAGGCAGAATATTTTTTGCCACTTACTGTGGTTTCAGAAACTCCTTGAATGGGCCCATCTGGGGTGGTCACTTGTTGGCTCTGACATTGAAGGATTTAATGCAAAAAAAACCGATGTTTTGGGGTGTTTTTTCTACTTACCATAGAGCCAACCAGAAGAAAACTGAAAATTAGTCCTCCTATGGTCAACGACATCTGACTGGCATGCATAGGCGACTGGTTATAACGAATTTTATTCATATCTTGAAAACATTAAACAGGTTTTGATAATAGCAGGAATTTCAATAATATTTATTTTAAGAGCTGGATTTTGATTCAGATGTATAAAGTTGCATATAACAAAGGAAGTGCAAAACGCGAAATGCGTCTACTCAAGGTTTCATTCAAGTAGCCATGTTTTGTTATAATGATAATTTTCGCCTGTTAGGAAAACTGTACATTTTAGCAGCAATTGGCATGACTAATGAATCTATATTTGCTTTTTTCTCTGTATTCTGTGCTTAGGAAACATGTCTTAGAGCAAGCAACCTTTGATATGTTGAGGGCCAAACTTTAGCGTGCAAATACGTTCGCGGGCCGCGTTTAAAAGTACTTAGTGTATTTTAAAGTAGTGATAATATTTTTTGCGATAGATATTAGAAATGAAATAATACAACAATGTTATTATAGTACAATTTATTAAAATAACAAAATTAAATAAAAAAAAATGGTACATTATAATTAAATCGTTAAATTTGCAATTGTTTCAAACTACAAAAGTTAAATACACCGAAATCAATGAGACAGTTGAGCTTGAATTTGGGAAACCAATTCATCGATATTTGGATTAATTCCACTGATACAAAGACGTAAAGAATTTTCCAAATTATCGTCAGTCTTGTACGATGTGTTGATTTATCAACTTTCATCAATGAAAAAGAAAGTACTGCCAAACGCACAAATCAATCTTCTGGCCAATTTTCGCGGCGGAAAATAGTCTTCTTCTAGGTATTTTTTGTAGAAATCGCACAACTCTACGTCCGTTTTGCGTTTGCCGCTTCACTGTCACTCCCGTGAGTATAAGTACCACATATAATATTTTTTTAATTGGGTTTTTTTCAAAAACGTCTTGCGGGCCGGTTGTTGCCCATACCTGTCTTAGATACTTAGATACTAGATATACGAAGCAACTGCGAAAATAATTATTGAAGTGTACATTTTATTACACATCGGATATAAAAAAAAACGACCAACAATTATAGATTACGTTTACGTTTTTTCCAACTGGACACGCTGAAACCACCATAAAACAGTGAAATTATCGAACGTACAGGATTGCATGATTTCTTTGCCCCCAAAGCACGGCAAGACGATATGGAGTATTTTGCCCAAGAAGTAATTAAATTTATTGATATCGGTCCTACTCTTCCTTGAGAAAATTGGCACGTCAAAATCAACATTCCTATGATGCCAAAATACGTGCAATCTATGGGTTTCAAATAAAAGTTAACTAATCTTTCTCTAGATCCTTGTTTAAATAACATCTTTAACAGCCACCTAATTTAATATGTATTATAAGGCCTGTTTCCATAAGTCTTGTAAATATTATCCCATATCCTCATTCGAGCAGCTTTGGGCTTGCCCTCAACCATCTCTAAATCGGTATTTTCATAATTGCCAATGCTCACATATTGAAAGATCTCCGATGTTACTCTGGGCCATTCGATATTTTGCAGCAGCATTTCTGATGTTGGAGTTGGATTGCTGGAAACAGAAATGTTGAGACTTTTTCTGATTACTCCAGAGTTCACCTACTGATATTTGGCAAAGTTGGTCCAGATTCTGATCAGTCTGTTGTGCACTAGTTGATCATTTTCTGGATAGTTTTCCAATGGCTTGCCCCTGAATATATAAGGCCATTCCTCCGTGTGAGTTACATTGCCGGAACCTGAATAAATAGTGAACATTAATCGCAAAGAAGAAAATCTAAGCCATATTTTCCTTAAACCTTCTAGCTTGTACTTGGTGTTTCCTCCCATGGCTCCAGTATAGGAAAACTCATAGAAATAGACATGAGTATATTGAGCTTGTAGCTCCGCATGTTTGGTTAGCGATTTTGCGAAGTTTTGGTCAGTGAAGTACTGAAAAAGTACAATATTTGTTTGCCATCAATGAACTAAACGAAAATATACTTGAATAGCACCAAGACGGTTATCGAAAAATGCATTGTCAGGAGAGTATTCCTGCTTAATCAAGCTTCCAACAAAATTCCATTCAGCTTCGTTGTTGATGTTCATGTTCTGGGGGTTTAGAGTGGCAGAGTTTCTGTCGTAAGCTTCCAATGAGTCATTCAGCGATTCTAAAAGCAATGAATGAAATACGTTGTTGGTTGAAAATGTGCAGTACGGACGGTCCATGTTCATTAAGCCTTCCTCGGAGCAAATTCCAAGCATAATCGGAACCTTGTTGAAGCTTCCAGATGCAAAAGATTCATACTGAAAGCTTGGAATCACTGGGTTGCTGTTAAAAGAGTCAATAACAGGGGCATAGTAAGCTCCTTGCTGCATCTGGCTTCTTTGAATTGCATTGGGTTGGGCTCCATCCTAAAACTCCACTAAAGAAAACTATTAAAGCTTGAAACTTCACAACTACTTACGTAGTTGGAAAACTTCAAAGCTGCATTGTCGATCAGTTTCGCATCTGCTTGCTGAAGAACTTCCAGTAGTGATGAGGCATTGGCAGAATAATCAAACCGAGAATCGATAAAACTAGCAGTCTTGAATGTGATTTTGGTTTGGTTTCTTTGGTACGCAAATGGGCAAAGTGATGTTCCCGATTCGAGAATCGCCCCAGAAAACAGGCCTAAATTTCATTTGAAAGCAATCGATGTTTGCGATTTTTTTGGGGAGGAATTACCCTTAGCTTGGGGACTCAAAAGCATGTAGCCAACAGAAGCGGCTCCAGCGGATTGGCCGAAAATCGTTACTCTGTCTGGATCTCCTCCAAAAGCTGCAATATTGCGTTGAACCCACTTCAACGCAAGAATTTGGTCGCTTAGTCCAGCGTTGCCAGGAATCACTTGGTCTCCAGTTGAGAGGAAGCCTGTGAAAACCCAAGTTATACGTGGTCATTTATTGGCAAAATGTCCTCACCAAAGACACCCAATCGGTAATTGAATGAAACGAAAATGATGTCTTCCTCGAGCAAATAATTGGGAGAAAATCCTCCAGTGGTGGCAGTTGAGACCAGGCCAGATCCAGAAACAAATCCACCTCCGTGAATATTGACCATAACTGGAAGGTTTCCAAATGAGGTCGTTGAGTTCTGAAGAAAGCAATATGTAAAAATTCCATTGCAAATTTTCAAAATATCTAACACCTGTGGAGTAAAAACGTTCATATGTAGACAATCTTCACTTTCTTCATCGAAGTCTCGGTACAGTTGATAACAAATGTTGGGATTCTCTGAAGTACCATCGAACACTTCGGTCCACGCATCCACAGGTTCAGAAGCCTAAATATTGGCAAAAATGTTTACTTAATTTTAGTTAGTTTATGGCTTATTTCAAGGAGGGTTTTAATACTGAGTTCGTACCAAAAAACGTCTAGAACCAATGGGAGGTTTGGCGTAAGGAATCGAGAAGTATGCGTAGAAAATTCTGCCACTGTAGGTTGTCTGAATGGTGCCTTGAATTGGACCATCGAGAGTCGTAACTTGTTGAGCCTAAGAAACCAAACTGTGAGCAAAATCTTTTTTGCAGAAATAAAAAGGACAAATCCGATTAAGACCGTGCAAACAAGCGATAGAACACATAATTAGTTGTTTGATAAGATTATAATCTATATTAAATCAATAAACACAATTAATTTAATATTTTACGTTCGTAATTGGGCAGAACTCCCCGCAAATAAAATCGTCACTTACCTCTGAATCAAAGAGACTCAACAAAAGAATAAGCAAAATTGCGTATGGCTCCATCAAGTTCAAGGAAACATTAATTAGAATAAGTTTCTTTAATACGCATAAAATAAAATTATCAGAAAATTTCAAGTGATTTACATTAATTGAAACATACACAGGTCAGGCTTTCCTCCTTTTTAATGAGGCACTACCTAAACGGCTTTCATTCACATTTATTTTTAGTGCCGTAGTTTTTATGTTTAGTGAAATTACTGATTTTCGATTTATAAGAACCTGGGCGTTATCATGCCAATTGAGAAGCCAGACGACAGCTACTAAATATCGCATCCGAAATTTAACATTAGATACAAGAGCCAAAAGCTGCTGATATATTTATGCAGCCATAAAGCTTTTCCCAAAAAGGTGGAATAGTGTGGGTTTTTCGACAGATAGATAGTAGTAGCCATAATTTTTAACTAATATTTTCGGGCGGGTGATTCTCCTATGGGTCAAGTGTATGAAAGTCATGTCAAGGTCAAGGGAAGATAAAAATGAAAAGGCGTCATTTCTAAATAATACATAATGTTTCTGCAAGGTGAAAAAACTACATTTTGTCGTCCATTTGAGCAATTATATATTTAGATATCATTGTGATTCCCTTTGTAAATTCAACTACTTTTCAGCTTTGATCCATTTTGCAGTTAACATACTTCTACATCATTTTTGTTGATTGGCAAGGAAACATTTAACCGTCAACTAATTTAATATGAATCATAAGGTCTATTTCCATAAGTGTTGTAAAGATTGTCCCAAATCGCCATTCGAGCAGCTTTAGGTTTGCCCTCAACTATCTTCAAGTCGCTGTCTTCATAATTGCCAATGCTCACATATTGAAAATTCGCGGCTGTTACCCTGGGCCATTCGATGTTTTGCAGCAGTTCTTCGGATGTTGGAGTTGGATTACTGGAGGACCGAAATTGGAGAAAAATCGCATTAAGTCTTATGTTTACCTACCGATATTTGGCAAAGTTGGTCCAGATTTTGATCAACCTGTTGTGCACCAACTGATCACGTTTCGGGTAGTATTGCAATGGGTATCCTCCAAATATGTAGGCCCATTCCTCCGTGTGAGTCACATTTCCAGAACCTGACAAAAAAGATTGTTATATTGTTTTCGAACTTAAAAAGCCTACCAACCTGCAAGTTTGTGCTCAGTATTGCCTCCCATTGTCCCAGTGTAGGCAAACTCGTAGAAAAATACTTCAGTATGTTCAGATTGCAGTTCGGCATGTTTCGTTATAGACTTTGCAAAGTCCTGATCGGTAAAGTACTGAAAAAAAAATGTGAAAATTGCTCCTCATGAGGGAAATCAAGCAAGTACTTGAATAGCTCCAAGTCGGTTGTTCAAGAAGGTATTACTAGGCGAGTATTCCTGTTTAATCAACCTTCCAACGGTATTCCAGTCAGCTTCGTTATTTATGTTCATATCCTGCGGGTTGAGAGTGCCTGGGTTTTCATCGTACGCTTCCAGCGAGTTGTCCAACCACTCTAAGTCAGTAAATTAAATTCCGTATTTCAAAGCAGGCAATACTCACGGTCCAGATTCATCAACCCTTCCTCGGAGCAAATTCCAAGCAAAATCGGAACCTTGTTAATGCTTCCAGAAGCAAAAGATTCGTACTGGAAGCTCGGAATCACTGGGTTGCTGCTAAAAGAGTCAATAATAGGGGCATAATAGGCTCCTTGCTGCATCTGGCTTCTTTGGATGGCATTGGGTTGACCTCCGTCCTAAAATTCTACTGGAGAAGAGCCTCACATTTAGAATTTAACTACTTACGTAGCTGGCAAACGACAAAGCCGCATTATCGATGGCTTTGGCATCAGCTTGCTGAAGGATTTCCAGTAGCGATGCGGAATCTGTCGAATAATCAAATTGAGAATCGACAAAACTGGCGGTTTTGAAGGTAATTTTAGTTTGATTTCTTTGGTATGCCCACGGGCAAAGCGACGATCCAGACTCGAGAATTGCTCCAGAGAACAGGCCTAAAAAAGCAAAGTAACACTGGAGCATTGATTAGTTTTAGAAGAATTACCGCTTGCTTTGGGAGTGAGGAGCATGTAACCAACAGAAGCGGCTCCAGCTGACTGTCCGAAAATCGTCACTCTATCTGGATCCCCGCCAAAAGCTGCAATATTACGCTGCATCCACTCAAGGGCCAGAATTTGATCAGTCAGTCCAGCGTTTCCAGGAACGACATCATCTCCAGTTGAGAGGAAGCCTGCGAAAATGCTTGTTGTGTGGTACTTAATTTAGTTCTAAAACTCTTTTACCAAAAGCTCCTAATCGGTAATTGAACGAGACAAAAATTACGTCTTCTTCAAGCAAATAATTTGGGGAAAATCCTCCAGTAGAGGCGGTTGATACGAGGCCAGATCCAGAAACAAATCCACCCCCGTGAATATTTACCATCACGGGAAGGCTTCCAGATGGAGCTGTTGGGTCCTGCAAGTACCAAATTTACTCCATATTCTAACCAGATGAATTCCACATTATTTGTGTGTGTTTATGTGTTAGAGAATAATACCTGTGGCGTAAAAACATTCATATGTAAACAATCCTCATTTTCTTGCTCGTAGTCACCGTACAGCTGGTAGCAAATGTTCGGGTTTTCTGACGTGCCATCGAACACTTCGGTCCAAGGATCTACTGCCTCAGAAGCCTACAATCAGAGTTTAAATGGATTTTGTTTTTTTATGAAAGTTTTTCAAACTAAACTAGTCTTTACCAAAAAACGCCTGGAACCAGTTGGTGGTTTGGCGTAGGGAATTGAGTAGTAGGCGTAGAAGGTTTTGCCACTGTTGGTTGTTTGTGTCGTTCCTTGAATCGGACCATCTGGTGTTGTAACTCGTTGGGCCTAAAATCATACATAAATCCGTGAACTCTGCGAACACGAACCAAATTTGGTCAAAACTTATTACTCATTTTGATGAAAATAATCAGAAGAAATATGACTGACAAGAAATAATCCAGATTTAAGGCCAAATAGGTGAATTGCTTACCTCTAACCCAACGAGACTCAGCATCAAAACCACCAATATTGGAATCAATTCCATCATTTTCACGCAATTATTGATAACTTAGTGAGTTTCTTGAGTTCATTCTGCAGCTGTCGTATCTAGCAAGCAGGAAATTTTAAGTATCACTTGAGAAAAACTTGTGTAAATAGGAAATTAGGAAACAGGTCCGGATTTGCTCCGTTTTGTTATGTAATCTGTAGAAGAACTATATGGTAGACGTCATTTTAAGCAGTTAAGAATTTTTTTTTACAAGTTTTCCAGTCTGTTAGCTATCATCCTATGAGCTCCGTTTTGGATTAGTTAATGGAACAACTTAGTGATTAACTCCTGCATTCACCTTCTATTTTCTTCGTATGAACCTGCACAAGACCACTTTCTTTTTTGAAGCATTTATTGTCAGAAATTGGATTAGGCGAAAAATTGATCAACTGATAGCGACTGGAGGTTTTTAGGCCGTCGTTCGGTATAATTTCTTCTTGACGTTTCGCAAGCACGAGTGGCTTGCATCTTCAGAAGTGGTTTACTTGAACGATTACACTGTTCCGATGCAATTCCTAGGGCGCAGTCCGTATTCCGGTTGCGATGACGTGGTTTGTGGTGACGTGACCTCTGAAGATGCAGGCCACTCGTGCTTGCGAAACGTCAAGAAGACATTCTACCGAACGACATCCTAAAAACCGGAAAAACCCATTAGTTTCAAGGAATAGCCTCGAAAGTCTATCTCTTTTGGTAAAACACCTCTACGGGGAGACCACTAACCTACTATCCACCGGTTAGATAAGATGCGCAAACGAAAAGCAGGACTCCTATCCTCACTTGCTTTCCTGAGCCGATGCAGGGATTCCAACATCACCCCCGGCTTCCTGAGGTGCAAAAAAACCCTTAGCCACACGCAAGCATACATGATATACAACAGGACCGAGAAGTTATTCCTAAGGGAAAGGATCCACAACGTGAGAAATAAACTAGCAGCAACATACAGCGAACTTTTAAACCTTTTCTGGAAACTGGGAAACGGTTTGCATTACGCTGACTGGAATAAGATCGACGCCATCTCCCACAACAGCATGCAAAGAAAATTGGACAGAGCAACGAAGAGGCAAAAGAAGAAATTTGAAAAACCAAATCTAAGATTATTAGGTTAGTCCATATAATTAGTGGCGGACTATTTGAAGAGAGTACAACAAACATGTTCAAGGCCTGTCTCAAGGTCAGCTACTTCTTGTGGAATGGAGATTACTACGAACAAAAGGAAGGAGTAGCCATGGGAAGCCCACTAAGCTCGGTGGTGGCGAATCTATCCATGGATAAATTTGAGAAAACAGCGTTGAGCACCGCACTCTTTAAACCAACGATCTGGTGCCGATATGTTGATGACACGTTCGTGATATGGAGGCATGGGCGCGAAAACCTGGACATCTTCCTCGATCATCTAAATAAAAAGCACCCAGACATCCAATTCACCATGGAAATTGAACAAAACCACCAACTGGCCTTCCTGGATGTTTGGGTGTATAGGGAGAGGAACCGTTTGGACCACAAGGTATATGGGAAAGCCACCCACACGGACAGATATCTTCACAAGCTATCTAACGACTATCCGAGTCAGAAGCAGGGAATCATTAAGACTTTTACGGATAGAGCCAGAAAAATATGTGGACCACAACATCTAACCACAGAACTACAGTACTTGGAAAAAGCTTTTCTTCAGAAGGGATATTCCCATTGGGACATTAAAAAGCTGTAGGAGTGGGCCGTGCTGAGAAAAGTGAATCCACTCTGATAGCTTTCCTGCTCTTGATTCCTAGGGTTACCCACAGAATTGGGAGGCTCCTGAGGAAACACAACATAAGAACAATCTATGAGCCCACAACAAAGATCCGAGAATATCCAGGGCCAATTAAAGACAGAAGACCTCCCTCACAACTGCAGGAATCTACAGGATTCCATGCTCCTGTGGGAGCGCCTACATAGGAACTACTAACAGATTGGTTGCGACAAGAATAGAAGAACACCGACGGAATTATAAACTGGGATATGGTGGAAAAGTCGGTAGTGGCGGAACATGCTCTCAGCAATGGAACACGCAACATCTATTTCGGAGAGGCACAGGTCCTGGGCACAACAACAGGCTATCGCCCCCGACTAATACGAGAAGCCATTGAAATCTACGAACACGACGACAATTTCAACAAAAAAGAAGAGGCAATGGCGCTGAACAGGATATGGTTTCCAGCACTCACCAACGCAAAAACTGCAAGAAAAAGCAACCGCTCAAGACAGGAGAGAGAATCCAGTACACTGGAGGATAGCAAGGTAAATAAATACGGACTGCACCAGAGGAGTAGCATCGGAACAGTGTAAGCGTTCAAGCAAACCACTTCAGAAGATGCAAGCCACTCGTGCTTGCTAAACTTCAAGAAAGAACATTCACAAAAAAATCACAAAGAAGAAATTCTACCGAACGACGGCCTAAAAACCCGAGAAACCCATTAGTTTCAGAATAAAGTGTCTCAAAAAGTTTACCGTGCTTTAATTAATAGCTGTTTTTTTGGCTCGTTGATAATAAAAAACACGCCACTTCTTTAAAATGCCGATGACAAAAAATTTGTTTAAGAATGTGATTAGAATACGACAGTAACGCACCTCCCAACAAAAAATAATCCGGTACACGAGATTGGAAAATTTGGTCAGTTGCTTAGCGAGTCCGATCAACAGACCTACATCCAATAAACAATTTTGTTTGGGCATGGCTGAAAATCCTAATAAATGTGATACTTCTGCTCCTAGCATAACTTATTGCTAAAATTCTAAATAAACTAGAAAATATTTCTGCTGATTCCATTTTGGTTAGTCGAGTCTCATCCTTCGGCTTTTCAAAATTGCAACTAGAAAGTGGGAAGATATTTTCCACAATTAAAATTTATTTGTTTGTCAGCTGCTGGTCACTTTATGACAAATATTCCTAGATGCGTATAACTTAATAGATGCACCCACACAGCATTAAGTAAGAGAGGGTAGTCCAGAAACACCTAAGATATCTCCTTCTTTAAGCCTTAGAGCTAAATGTAACCAATGAGATTATTTTAAATTAACCGTTTGTTGTTGTTTAAATGTGAACGCACTTATTCAACGAAATTCCACAAACTAAATATGAAAATATCCTGGGTTTCAAAGCTTTTAGAATATGTCGTGCGTTGCAAAAAAAACCAAAAAATCGGTACTTCCCCAATCATTTATTTCTACGACAAAATAACAAGCAATTCCCACTCAATAAGTATCGAATGGCCGATTTCCATATTTCTCATAGACGGTGTCCCAGAAGGCCATTCTGTCAGCTTTCGGTTTGCCTTGCACGATAGTTAAGTCGGTGTCTGCAAAGTTTCCTATTTTAACATATTGAAAGTTTCCAGCCGTCACTTTAGGCCACGTGATTTCTTGGAGAAGTTCGTCCGCAGACGGAGTCGGATTTCTAGGAAATGGAACTTCATTTAATCGGCATTTCATTCGAGAAAATAAATATGGAACATTTGCCGAAACATGCGCTTTATAACTTGACGCAATTAACAAGCTTGGGGAAGCAAAAAAGCTACTGGGAGAGCAAAAAATTATGCGTTCTCTAAAGGGACTTACCGGTATTTGATGAAGTTTGTCCATATTCTAATCAATCTATGATGAATCAATTGATCTCCTTCTGGGAAACTCTCGACTGGCCAACCCCAGTAGAGATATAGCCATTCCTCCACGTGAGAAACATTGCCTGAACCTATCAAAAAATTTAGTCAAAAGTCGCTAACTCTCTATTCCTTTAAGTTAAACAATTACCTGGAAGGGTGTGTTGAGTATTTCCCGCCAGTTCCCCAGAATAGGCAAATTCATAAAAATAAACATCACTCATAGCCGATTGAAGTTCTGCATGTTTTACAGCCCCTTTGACAAAGTCATGTTCAGTAAAGTACTAAAAACACGAAAACTTAAATGAGTTGGCCCTTGTAAAAACATTTTTTTACCTGGATCCCCCCCAGTCTATTATTTAAAAAACTACTAGATGGAGAATATTCTTCCTTCAGTATATTCCCGACTTCCACCCAAGTTGGCTCGTCTTGAATGTGAAGGTCTTGAGGATTCAAAAAGCCCAAAGTTCGGTCGTATCCTTCTAGGGTGTCATCCAGATTTCCTATAAAAACGCCACTAGTACAAGTGCTTCTGTGGAAATTTTAGCTTTTTATTTACCATCCAAATTAGTAAGGCCTTCCTCCGAGCAAGTTCCAATTAGAATTGGCACGTTATTAAAGTTTCCGTTCAAAAGGGCCTCGTACTGGTATTCGGGAACCACTGAACTTTCAATCACCGGTGCAAAGTAGAAACCTTGTTGCATTTGAAGCCTGTGGACAGCATCTGGCTGGCTACCCACCTGCACTAACCAACATTACATTTTCTTCATTCCTGCCCTGAGCGAAACTTACCCAGTCTGCAAAGCTTGTTCCAGCTGCGTCAATTTGTCTGGCATCAACATTTTGCAACACTTCCAATAGTCTCTGGGAATCGGTGGATGTTTCAAATTCAGAATCAATGAAGCTGGCCGTTTTAAACGTGTTCTTGGTTTGGTTTCTCTGATAAGCCCATGGATCCAGAGGAGTTCCTGATTCCAAAATCGCTCCGGAAAAGAGGCCTAAAATTCGATTCAGGAATGACTAACATTTATTTTAGGGCCAGAGTACCTTTAGCAGCAGGGCTAAGAATTAAATAGCCCACAGAGGCTGCTCCAGCTGATTGACCGACAATGGTAATTCTATCTGGGTCTCCGCCAAAAGCCGCAATATTTCGGTTCACCCATTTCAGAGCTTGGATTTGATCAGCTAAGCCGGCATTTCCGGGAATCACTTTATCTCCAGTGGACATAAAACCTATTAAGAACATGCTAGTTTTATGGAAAGAAATAGTTTGCAAAATTCACCAAAAGGTCCCAGTCGGTAGTTGAAGGCGACGAAAACGATTTCTTCTTCTATCAAGAACTTGGGGCGCAGTTCTCCAACTGGGGAGACCTCCAACGCGTTGCCTTCAATAAATCCACCTCCATAAATGTAAACCAACACCGGCAAATTTCGGCTTTCTTGTGTGGGGTCCTATCAATAAAATCATTCATTTTCAATATGAGGCGAGAGCAGTAGTTTTGTGGTAATAATCTATTGAAGTCATTGTTTGCATCGAAACTTGAAAACTTAAAACGTTTGCTCCAATGACTCCAAGTTTCTAGCTGCAAAGAAAACTCCGCCGCAGTTGTCTTAACAGGTATAATTTTTAGGCCAATAAGTGGCAAAAATCTGACACTTAATACCGTAGAAGTGAAATTCATACGCACTTGTCGAGTGTAAACATTCAAGTGGAGACAATCTTCGTTTTCATCGTCATAGTCGATAAACATTTGGAAACACATGTTGGGGTTTTCCGTACTTCCATCATGGACGTCTGTCCATGGATCTGGGGCTTCTGGGGCCTGAAAATGCTGATGTTAGGACACTTAACTTAGGTTTAATTTTGATAAAGGTTTTACCAAAAATCGCCTGGAACCAATTGGAGGCTTTGCGTAGGGAATGCTGTAGTAGGCGTAATAAGTGTTGCCAGTGAGAGTTTGCTCAGTGGTTCCTTTAATTGGTCCATCCGGAGTAGTTACTTGTTGAGACTGAAAATGAAAAATGCATTAGACCTTAAAAGAACACGCTTTGGTATTGAAAGATAGAAATATGTTGCTTACCAACGCCTCAATAAGGAACAGAGTACATAAAAATATTGCAAGTTTTAACTCCATGCTGCTGAGGTCGGAGCCACAAGTGTCCCCATAAGTTGTGGCTCCACTTGTAATATTCATCAAAATACTTTAAATTAATCAGTACATGCTTCACTATGGGATTAGATTAGGAAACATATTTTAAATAAATGAATGTTGCTAGTTTTAATTATATTTTTTAGAAAGCAAGTTAAAGTGACTTGAAGTACGGTCATGGAAATTTTTTATCTAATTCTGAGATTTGTGTGGATTTCAATCATTAACTACGCATGAAAACTTCAATTTTAGGAAATTTGTTTCTGCGTCTTTAGATCCTACAGAAGAGTCCATATTAATTTGCAGTAGCGGATAAAACAAAGTTGCGTTTTTGTGGTGAAAGCAATAAGAAATAACGTTGTCTTCGTAACAGCTTTCAAATTAGGTTTTTCAAACTTTTTACAACAAGAAAATGTATTTTCTACAATATTTTATAAACCACTGATTTTTATGATTTTCTTTGTTTTCCTAGACGAAAGAGTGTTTCATTTAAAATACATGCAGTTACATGTGGCAAAGCCGCAAATGGCAGAACTAGTAATTATATCCTTCATTGGAAAAAACACTTAACATCTGCAAATAACTCCGGCCAGAGATAATTTTCAGATAATTTATTAAAATTACTTTCTTGCCAAACTTGAAAGTAGAAGGAGTGCCACATGAAGCCCTGTAGATTTTGTCAGCCTAAAGTTCTAAATATTCCAACAAAACATGTCTAACTGAGGCAGTGCGTGTGCGGGACTTGGTTGAAGAAATCAAGTAGCCAGTGGCATGCAAAACACCTCGGCTGCCAAAAAAAAAACATAAAACTGACGGCTTTAAGAGAGGCTAGGGCTTAAAAGCATTCAACATTCCATCATTCGATTGATGGCTTGTCTCTTGTACGATCAACATCGCAAACTTCCTCTGTTACCTGTTTGTTTATTTTTTTCTTATTTGGAATTGGTGGGTTGGGTACAGCTTGTTTCGGCACTTCAGCGTGTGTGGCCCCTGTCAAACGAAAAGCCCCGGTTTTTCACCTACAAAAAAGAAATTCGAGCACGTGGCTCCATCAGAGCCAAGTGCAGGTCCCCCCTTGCAGGGCTCCGGAAAGCCCAAAAGTGAAAGCAATGAGTGCTCAGGAAGACCCGGCTACGACCGGCCCTCAAAAAAGCCAGGTAAGTGCCTCTGGCAAATACCCAAAATCCACTCCTTACTCCTACTCCACCCACTCCTACAACACCATCCGAAAAGAACGTGACTCACTCCAGTCTCAACTAAAAAAAGCCCTAGCCACAATCCAAAAACTAAACACAAACGTTACAAAACTTTCCGAGAGGTTATCCGCTTTCGAATGAATTGAAAAACCAAACCAACATGTTACTCAAACGCCACCGACCCAGCCCTAAACGACTGAATCCATGGAAATTGACCTAATATTCCCGCCACTAAAGCCCGCAGCTCCATGAAACTTTCCAAAAACAACAAACAAAACACACAACAAACACCTACAGGCTGAAGAAGCCAAAACAAACGCACCAACAGTGACACCAACAACCCAAGCCCCAAAACCCCAAATTACCAAATTCCCTTAACCCACTCAAACTCCTAAACCAAAGACTATTGTCCCAATTACGGCCAAAAACCCGGCAGACTGGACCAAGATCTAAACTCTCCTAAATCTCCACAACATCAATATTACAAATCCCAAAAAGAAGCGAGTGAAGTCGAGAACCAGTACCAAGACGTAACTACTAAAACCATCACCGAAACGGACGAAACTACCCCTCAGTTACAATCGACGAACTAAAATCCCAAATACATCTGCTAAAGACCAAAACCGCTCCAGGCATTGACAAAATCTCAAACAGGGTGATCAAAATGCTCCCAGAAAACATCCTACGTAACCTCCTAACCTTGATAAACAGTGCTTTTGCACACCGAGAGTTTTCTAGCAGCTGGAAAACAGCTGCTATAGCTCTCATCCCAAAGCCAGGTAAAAACAAAACCTTCCCCCAAAAACCTTCCCCTTTCTGCCCACCTTCTCGAAACTTACGTAGAATTTCAAAGTCAAAGAAAGACTGTTGGATAAAATCTCCCATAACAGCGGTATCCCCCACGAACAATTCGGTTTTATGAGAAATCACGACTCCGAATTGCAAGTGGCCAGACTAGTGGAAGACGCCGCGCTTGGACTCCCGGAAAAATCCTCCACGGGGATTATTCTCCTGGACATAGCAAAAGCGTTCGACACTGTCTGGCACGAAGGAATGACCTGGAAATTGGCCAGCCTCTACAATCTGCCAACTAGCTTTGTGCAGTTTGTGGCAAGCTTTCTAAAAGACAGAAAATTCCGGGTCCGACTAAACAATCACCTTTCCTCGTTAAGAACTGTGGAAGCGGGAGTTCCGCAAGGATCCCCCCTTCCCCCATTTCTTTACAATACCTACACAGCCGACATCCCAAAATACCCAGGCACTAAAATTGCCCTGTTTGCGGACGACACCTGTCTATACTTCACTTCCAAAAACCCCAATTACATTCCGCCAAAACTTCAAAGAAACTTAGACAAACTCACAGACTGGACAGACTTCTGGAAAATCAAAATCAACGCGGAAAAAACACAAACACTCATGATAAACACGAAACGTACAGACAAACTAAGACACATCACTCTACGCAACGAAAACATCGCCTGGTCTAAAACAGCAAAATACTTAGGTATTACAAAATTACCAAAGCAAGAGCAGCACGTGCAGCCCTCCACCCCTTCTTAATCTCAACAGTAAACTTACCATCAAAAACAAACTCCTCCTATACAAACAAATTATTCGACCACAGCTTCTTTACGGCGCCTCAGCATTTATCACGACCTGCAAGACCAACATAACTAAAATACAAACAACACAAAACAAAATCTTTCGATCCATGTGCAGAGCTCCCTGGTACATACGTAACAAGGACATACACAAAGACTTGAAAATTGACACTATCCAGGAATTCCTTACTAAAAAACACTCAATTCAAATCCAAAGTCCTCAATCATTCAAACCCACTAATCCAAAACACCTTTAAAAACACCCTACTGCAAAATAATCAGGGCCAAAAATCCATCATGGCCCCCCTTAACTGAGAATAGCTCCCCAAACCCCCCCGCACAACCACCCATTTTTTCCCCCACACCACCCTTATACCTCGAAACCCCCTTCACTCCCCTCTCTATCATTCCCCCCCCTCACCAAACCTAGCCACTGGTACAAAGGGCAAGCAATGCACGGACGGCATTCTCAAAGCACATAGTCCAATCGCACAACAAACTTAAATTAAAATAAGCCATTAAAGGCACTCACAAAAGAGCAAAAGTTCCGACGGACTAGCTCTAGCAAAAATATCCACAACTAGAGCTTAAAAGTCGAAGCAAGAAAAACTTTAGTTTCTCAGTGAATACTCTTTGAAATATTTTATTGTCTATTGAAACACTTAAACGTTCATTTGAGACACCCACGAAAAGTGAGCTTAGCATATTTGAAAATATATCACTTCCGCTAAGGTATACTAACAAAAAATACAAAAAAACATCGAAATTAGTTCATCATTTCTCTTTTATTCACACGGTAGTATTAAACATGATCATTTAATAAGTATCAAATGGTCGGTTTCCGTATGACTCGTAGATTCGGTCCCAAAACTCCATCCTATTGGACTTGGGTTTACCCTGTTGAATAGTCAAATTAGGGTCGGCAAAGTTTCCAATTTCCACATATTGGAAGTTTCCGGATGTCACTTTTGGCCAGGTGATTTCTTGAAGCAGTTCTTCAGCCGATGGAGTGGGATTCCTGCAGATTAAACGTCTTTATTCATAGTTTCCAAATTAAAGGGACTACCAGCCTTCGAAATGGTTAAGAAATTATTTATAAATTGCTTTATGGAAGAGAGTGATGTAAATGTGACGACGTACTGATATTTGGCAAAGTTGGTCCAAATTCTCACAAGCCTATTATGCACCAATTGGTCGTTTTCTGGATAGCCGCTAACCGGCCAGCCCCAGTAAAGATAGATCCATTCTTCGACGTGGGACACATTTCCTGAGCCTGAATTTCATTGCAAATATACCAGTTTTACAGCATAATTCAAATACACAAAGACGTTATTTACCTGGATAAGTATGTTCAGTATTTCCAGCCAGCTGTCCAGAATAGGCAAACTCATAGAAATAGACATCGCTTTGGTCTGCTTGCAGTTCTGCGTGCTTGATTGATCCTTTTGCAAAGTCATGTTCGGTAAAGTACTGAAACGATTAAACAAATGAATTCAGCACTTTCCTGGCTAGAAAAACCAATTGTATACCTGAATTGCGCCCAGTTTATTATTCACAAAAGTGCTCGACGGGGAATATTCCTCTTTGATCAAATTTCCAACTTCAGCCCAGGTGGGTTCGTTATTAATATGAAGATCCTGGGGATTTAAGAATCCTGGAGTATCGTCATAAGCTTGCAGAGTGTTGTCCAAGTATTCTAAGAAACCGCACTTAATATCGTTAATTACTTCCTATAAGACAGACACTTACGATCCAAGTTGGTAAGACCTTCTTCGGAACAGATTCCCATTAGTACAGGTACTTTGTTAATATTTCCATCTGCAAGTGCTTCGTATTGGTACTCTGGAATAACCGAACTCTCGATTATTGGCGTATAATAGAATCCCTGTTGCATTTGAAGTCTGTGAACAGCATAGGGCTGACCAGCGTCCTTGCAAAAAAATTAATAATATTCATTCGAGTGCACAATTAAGGCCTATACCCAGTTTGCAAAAGAGGTGGCAGCAGCATCAACCGTCCGGGCATCAGCACTTTGCAAAACTTCTAGCAATCTCTGCGAGTCTCTAGAATAATCGAATTCCGAATCAACAAAGCTGGCAGTTTTGAAGCTGATTTCGGTTTGGTTTCTTTGGTAAGACCATGGATCCAGTGGAGTTCCCGATTCCAAAATTGCCCCCGCAAATAACCCTGAAAGGATTCAAAGGTTGTCTTTTCTGAAACTGGGCAGACATTAAGTCTTACCGCTTGCAGCTGGGCTGAGAATTAAATATCCAACAGAGGCAGCTCCAGCCGATTGTCCAACAATGGTGATTTTATCCGGATTTCCTCCAAAGGCCGCTATGTTCTTTTTCAGCCATTTGAGGGCTTGGATTTGATCGGCTAAGCCGGCGTTTCCAGGAATCACTTCGTCTCCAGTTGACAAGAAACCTGTGGTTTCACTCGAGTTAGTTTTTGAGTTGTTACCTAAGCACTTTGTTAGTTTCACCAAAAACTCCCAGTCGGTAGTTGAAGGACACGAAGATTACATCCTCTTCCACCAAGAACTTGGGAGACATGCCTCCAGTTGGAGAGGAGGCCAGTCCGTTGCCGGTGATAAAACCACCTCCATGAATGTTCACCAGAACGGGCAAATTGCGACTTTCCTCTGAAGGATTCTGAAAGAAATCCCTCCGTTTAGCATGAAATTTCTCCTGTTCTACTAGCCGTAGCAAGATTGGCACATACTTGAGGGGTGTAGACGTTCAGGTGAAGACAATCTTCATTTTCTACATCATAATCGTTATATAACTGATAACAGATGTTGGGGTTCTCGCTACTTCCATCATGCACTTCGGTCCAAGGATCTGGAGCTTCCGGAGCCTTAAATAACAAACTGTAGCCGTATTCAACTTTCTAGAACACTTCTTACCAAAAATCGCCTTGATCCTGTAGGAGGTTTGGCATAGGGAATAGTGTAATAGGCGTAGTAAGTCTTTCCACTTAGAGTCTGTTCAGCCACTCCTCGGACTGGCCCATCTGGAGTAGTGACTTGTTGAGCCTGAAAAAATCCAAATATCAGTCTACTAATAGTTTAATCTCCAGATCCTTACCAAAGTCCCAATAAATAAAAGCAGAGACACGCAAATAACCGCTTGCAACTTCATCTTGTTGCCGAGTGCCACTGACTAGCAAAGTCAGGCCAAAAGTGGACAACAAAGTGCTTCAGTGTTATCAGCTACTCAAGCGTTTTATTTGTGGTGTTTGTGTAATGTTTTATCTTATTACAAGTTTTTAAGGGGATGTGTACTCTTGAGCTATCTAAGATTTTTAAAATATTAAACTTGAAAGTTAACTCTTGAAACTTGAAATGTTAAAACATATTGTATGTTCAAGGAAAGTGGCTAGGACGTGCGGGCACATAATATCTTCAGATGAGAACAAAACTCTCAGCGAAAAAATAAAATGCTATAGAAAGGGTGTACATTCTTAAATGTATCGGTATATTTGGTAAAAATGAGCAAATTTAGCAAAACTCGGGTATTTATCGCCTCTCCATGAATACTGAGAACGTGTCTTAAGGAACTGAGAAAACTGAAAATATTTGTTGCTCTGAAGTGGTCGAGTTTCAACCTGTGGAACTGCCCCAATTGAAATCCCATAAAATTCAGTTTCATGTGCTGAAACATGCGAGATTTTTCATATAAACGATTCACATGTTTCTGGCACTGTGAATTGAAAGATAAATTTCATTTCTAATTTTAGAATCAAAGAACTAACTACAATTTCAAGCTTTCGCTAATAACTTCCAGCCTTTCTGTTATAGATTTAGATGGCTGTTATCACACATAAAAGTTTGTCGTTTTTTGGTCATTTGATTTTGTCTTCTCCTTGAAAGAAACAGCACCGTGCTTTTGTGTCCTCTATTGATCTCATCGTGTCTCCAACCGGAAAAATTTGTATGACACAGCAAAGTACTCCAATTAAGTTGAATTAAGTTCCGATTTTACAAGCTATTAAAAATAAACAAACAAAAAGACAATAACAGTTAAAAACAATTACAAAAATACGACAAAAAACGTGTGATCGAGTAGTGAAAAAAACAGGAAAACACTTATATTTCCTTCAAAATCACATACTACGTGCGCTACAATGAAGAAACAGTAGATTAAACAACTTAGGGACTGGGCAAACACGTATACAGGGTATTCCCAGATAATTATGATTGTTTAGATTGTTTGATGTGCAAACAAGCTTTTGTTTAAGGACCAATAACTAACTATGTACCTAGAACACATTGTTCGACATAATTTGTAGCTGGTTTAGTTGACGAAATATTGAGAATACACACATAAGGCACAGTAATGACGAAAGATGTGGAGTCGTTTCCAAATTTGTGGGTTTATGTAAAGTTGAAGAAAAGTCAAAGCTTTGTAATTTATTGAAATTGCTATATGACTACGTTGAGTCTGTATGGGCACAGGCATTTTTGTATTCAATCAAAGGCACTTAATCCGTACAATTCCGGCGATTTATTCAAATTACACCGAATTTACAGGCCCATTATGTAAATGGGCCGAAAAGTTACACGAACTGACCGCAATAAAGCTGATAATGTTCACTCGGACCGAAACAACTTTATCTACTGGCTTAGAACAAAAATGTGGCAAAAATCCGCATATGCATTGGGATAAATTGCAGATATTATCGGAGGATTTTTAGCACAGGATAATGGAGCTACATCCATTTTTTTGTATTGCCAGTTTTAAACGAAAATATCAGCCAGAAGCGGGGTTTTAAATGTTGCACATGTGTTGTATGTTCTTTCACTTTCTATGATTCCATTAACGGAAAAGGCAATTACGAACAAAGTTGGAAATAAATGTTTATTAAATCAAGCAAACAAAATAGCAAAAGGGCAGGTGGAAGAGTTAGAAATGCACACATTACAAAAAAATCTGTATTATTTATATTTTTTTCTTTCCTGGTTTTCAGTCAAAGCGTAATATAAACATCTGTATATCGTTCATTTCATATAACGTTTCGGCGAGACAACAGCGCCATCATCCGATTTAAAATTCATCCAAACTCATCATTGGGAAACATGAGATTCTTTTAGGTGTTTGCTGTCTTGAAACCTCAAATTTGTTTGAATTATTGCCTACATTTGCGACAATGGTATGGATGTATTAAGATTAATTGATTTCAATACATACATACCAGTGAATGTAATAACAAGTACATGCTGTCAGGAAAATAAATCTGTATTAAGTCAGAAAATGGGAGGTTACCAGCTTCCAATCCAGATTATTTTCCTTCATTGCGATTGCCTCAATTAATTTATTAAAAATTCTCACGGGAATAGATAAATATGGAATAGGTAAATGTTAAATTGTTACAAATTTACGTTAAAAAAGTTCTACATCGCGTAGCGTTTTTTTCTCTCAGCTTTCCTTTATCCTTTTCCTTCTGACGTAGTCCACAAAGGCGATGTAAATTCGTCAACAAAAATTACTATTCATGTTATTCACGGTCTTTTCAGCATCGTCGTAGATCTATGTTGAAAAGGAAAGAGCCCTCTATGCAGTAATTGTCCATTAGCTAGGTTGATAAGTCGGCCACAATCGATGCTCAGGCCCAGCTGAGTTGGCGGTTTTTAAGCTCGATTCCAGCTTACGCTCCAAATAAACCGATATTTGCATTTCAATTCGTATGCATATGCGGGCTTTTGCTGGATTTTTATGAATTTGCCACTGCATCAAGTTATTTCGATCAGAATGGACGGAATCGCATAACCCTTTAATCATACGGTGTGCTTCGATTTCAATATCGAAACTGAATTTTAGTTTATATTCATATAAGTTTAAGTAAATGGGATGTTGCTCTCAATTTGGCACGATTATGGAATGAAAATCTGCGAAAAGTTGCACTCACAGTGTTTTTTTGCAACTGCAGTTCCAGTGCTGCAATTTTTTGTATTTTCCAAAGAAGCAATTTTCCAGTTTTTACTTTGGATATTTCTCCAATCGGTGATTCGTGTAGCCCTACTGGTTGTCTAGTCTTGTCAAATTTCTTGCATTTTTCCTTAGTACTTCTTCGTGAATTTTTGATATCTGTAGGCGAATCTTCAATATTTTTCAGTCTTGTAAAGTTTTACAATTCTTTAAATTGCTTTGAATATTATTTCGTTGTTAACTCTTTGTTAGCTGGGTGGTATTTCTGATGAGATGATATGTAGAATTGTAGTCTATTCTGCAATTGACTCTTCTATATTTTCCTACTTCTTCTATATTCTACAGTTATTTATTTGTTGTGTGTGCATTTACTAGTTAACCAGTTGACTACTTGAATTTTAGGTTGAAACTCAAGATGAGTAAATGCTTCTTAACTTTGAACTGTGTGCAAAAATAGAGCTCGTTTACATCTATAATCCGGTGAATTTCGTCTCCACCTTGTGGACGCTCTTAATCCCCCATCATTTTGGTGACAGTAGAAGAATTCAAGTAATTTAGGAGATTCGCTCTCCTAAATGATCCATACTGTGACAGATGGCCTCCACTCCAATTGCGGAACTTTAACTTGTCACTTTTTATTGGCCATTTTCGTACGAGACGCACTTTATTTATCAGAATTAGTAAGCATTATGCGGACCTATCTTGTTACGTAACGCTCATTTGCGCTAATGACGCTTCTGGCAATTTTTTGGCTTTTGCCTTTGTTCCTTTATCCGTAAAAAGAAAATAGCAATCAGCGCCTTTCCTGGCTAGTAATACCTTGCTCAATTAGAGTGTGTCTTTTTTTTGGAGCGGACAGTTTTGCTGGAAACCTAGTTGGTAATTTAGCTGGACAGAAAAATTGGCGAATTTGCTCGCTTTGAGGTCCACATTTATAGCTGCTGCAGATTAACGGTTCCAAATCATCAAGAACTAGTAGATACTTAATTCGGCTTGGGAAAAACATAGTGGTGGAACAACTGAAAACACACAAAAACTAGTTGATTGAAGAACATAAAAGGTTGAAAATTTTGCGTATAAAATGAGCAAATATTCCGCGGTTGTTCTAAGCGAATTTAACAAAGTGAATAAATTGGCGTTTTGACAACTAACACAATTAAAGCTTATTTTCGGCTTGCTATATAACCTCATTAGATCTGGCGACGAAAAAGCGACCGACCGACCATCAGCATCTTTCCCAGTCATTTTTCAATTAACCGCTTATTACTGCGTGTTTGTCTTCCAATTTTAATTAGCTATTTTTAATTCCCCAATTTTCTGCAATTATTCCGCACTTTCATACTGGTTAGGGAGCAGTGACGTAGATTATTTTCGATAATCGGGTTGAACACATTTTTGTTTTATCTAAAACCTGATAAATTTATGCCTTTGAATTGAAACATGAAAATGAAGACTGACGATATAATTTCGGTCTATTTGCGAAAAATTTTATTTAGAAAGTGCCAATTTTGGATTGAAAATGATACACAACCACCTACTTGAAAAATTATTTGTCTAATTCTTTTTCAATAGCTAATGAAGGTAAAACTATAAACATGCACGATAATAAAATCTAAAAACTTTTGGTTCTTGGACAAATTTACAAACTTGAATCATTTACGACACTATCTTGAACAAACGACTTTAAATAGCAGACAGTTTTGTTCATTGTTCGATTTTTTGTAAATGACACTTCAAGCATATTAAAGAAGTTTTGATCAAATTATTCGAATAATTCTTTCGGGAACATCATTATTAGGTTTAAGTTAAGTTTTAAACTGTAACTCGGTTATCGAGACTTGAAACAAATCATCTGCTGCTTGGGCTCGAGCTTTTTATTGATTTGAGCAATTTTTCTTTTTTCTTCTTGTTTCGTTCTAAAAGTACTCATAAGCTTATTAGAATTATCAACGAAAATCTGCTTTAAATGAGAAACAGAAGTTTGTGCCATTTGACATAATTGGAACTTTGTTGCACAATAAAACTTTACTTAACAGGGTGATTCAAAATTGGCGTCATTCCTCTGGAGGTGTTGTGTAGAGGTGTTTTAGGAGTGGAGTAAAAAAATTAAGTGTTATTAAAAACTGAGAATTTTGCAAAAAACAATATCAAAAAGACTACATTTTTTAAATACATCAAAATGGCTAAGTTTCTGACGGCGAATGTCTGAATCTCAAGACACTAAGTTAACAAATTTTCTGCAGAAGAATGGTTCACTTTT